AAAATAAAATTATTTAATAAAAAACTATTTTTTAAGAATATTGAATATTTTAAAATTTAAAATAATTTATAATAATATAATTTTATAGTTCAATATAATGAATTAATTCTCTTTCTAAAGACATGATCTAAATAATTTTAAAAAAAAATCTCAAGTCGCGCATTAATTAGAAATAAAAAAATTAAAGAGTATATAATTTGGAACAATAATTACCTTACAAGTTAATTTTGTATGGTTGAGTGTTAGACCTATAATCTACGATCTAAGAGTTTAAAAGGTTATATATCACATGTTGGGGGCATGGATACAAATTTCTTAATGTTTCGCAATAAACTTTCTTCTGACAGGAAAATTTCTTGCGAATTTTAAAATTCGCAAAATTATATTATCCATGAAAATATTACCTAGATAAAATTTCATAGAAAAATTCATAGAAACAATGTAACGTGCAATTTTTATGCAAAATTATATGAAAAGTCACATGTAATAAGAGAAATTATAGTAGTAAATGTTATAAAATAAATTTGTTAATAATTTTCATAAATAATTAATGTAAAAAAGAAAATCATTAAAATTAAAAATATCAAATTAAATACTTGAGATATATTATATTGGATTAAAAGAAACCGAACCAATTTGAAAATTTGGATTCTACAACAAAGTCAAGAGACAGTGCTATCTAATACAGGAGAAAATTGTTATAAAATTAATTTGTTTATAATTTTCATAAATAATTAATGTTAAAAAGTAAATCGTTAAAAAAATATCAAATCAAATAATTTAATTGACTGACTAAAATTAACTAATTAATTAATGGTCAGTTTATCACGAAGCATATTAAAGTGCCCCACACACATACATTATACATCGTAAAATTAATATATACTAATGATTTAAAATTAGTATAAGTTTTTTTTTAAGATGTACACCTAGTGTCACGGATTACTATTTTATATAATAAAAGTACAATAAAGAATCTTCTGTACCTGAGTGAATAATAAATTTGTGAAGTTAGAAAACGAAAATATATAAGTATCCAAATTCATAAATATTCATGTCATCCAAATATATTTTCATTGAATATTTGCTATCTAGGCAATAAAAGAATTACAAAAGTCAAAAAAAAATTTTATACAATATTTTGTTTTGGGGGTACATCTTATAAAAATTAATATTATATTACTTTTTCGTAAAAACTTACCGTTATTGTAAAAGATGAAGGAAAGTCAACAAAATTATTTTAGCATTTTAATTTTAATTTTCATAAAATAAATCAATCAAATATCTATCTTTAAACCTTTTTTTGCAAACATATGACTTTTTCACATATTATAGGTAATTTACTCCTTCATTACCTTATATATGTTTTTTTGGATAACTTTACCTTATATTTCACATATGAAGTACCAAATGGGTGTTTATAAATGTCATTTGCTGTTTTACCACTTTGTGTTGTCCCTTTTATGTGCCTCCTAATTTTCATATTATGAGTCAAAAAAACAAAATTGATGTTATGAACCATACCGTTGATGGAATAACTGAAACTCACATCACAGCTCCTTGCAGTTGCTTTGATTTTCTTTCATTTCAATATTTACATAAACTGTATACTTTGAAAGAGAAATTCATACACATGCTTTCTCATTTATTTCCCTATTCTCCTAAATCCTCTACCAATCCTCCCCAGGTTCTATTTCTTCTTTGCATTCCTCTTTTCTTTTTTATAGAAAAAAAAAGGGAAAAATGAGTTCCTTTTAGTTTTCACTGATATGCATTTAAGTTATTTTGATTTCATTTGTCATATTCAATATCTATCTTTATATCTATATGAAATCTCAGCTTTATGGTCATGGATTTAGATCAACTTCTGTGTGGTGATTTACATTTGGTATTTCCAAAATTCAACTGTTTGGGTGCACAGTGATATTTATTTTCATGGATTTTAATGTTAATTATCTACTCAGATGCACCTTGAAAAAAGAAAATTAGTGTATAAACGAAAAAGAAATTTCGTGAATTGATTGCAATAAGAACATAATTTAAATGTAGTTCCTTAGACGCTTTTGATTCTATTTTTCATCTTGATAATCTGCATAATAAAAGTTTTAATTTGTTTCTATAAATTTGAAATGAAACTCGAGTTCTAATAATATAATAACACCAAAAGCACAAATTATATATGAGTTATGTCCTTGAAACAATTGGTTATTAGGAGGAAAATATTAATGTTGTTTTAAATGGGGTTATGTAGGTGATTATGACATTTTTGCATTTACAAGAGAATGTTGGATTTGTGGATTTTGATTTGTAAATTGGTAACTTGTTTTTCTTTTTTTTGCACCATGATTTATTTATCTAGTTTGGGTGTAAGACTCTCATAGTAGTGTATTCTCAACTATAAACTTAGTTTTATCATGAGATAGAAAGATGGAACATGATGAGTGGTCAATAAGTTTCCTTTGAAGCTGTAGTATGATTGCCTTCTTTACAGGTTTTATTCATTTGAAAATTTAGGTTAGCTGCATCGCCACATTCACCTTTTCTTTTTCTCGTAAATGTGTTTTTACTTTCTACAACAATCATACATATGGTTGTAGAATTAGTTTAGAGGAAAGTAATTAAATAAAAAAGAATAAATGATTGTATTTCATTTTATGTGTAACTGAATAAGAACAAGTATTAAGAAGGGATGTGTAAGTCTGCTTCACAGTTTAGCATTACTAAGTGGAAAAATTATCGCCATAATTTTCCTTTTTCCCCTTTTATTTAATCTTTGACATGAAGTTTTTATTTGTGTAGGCGAGCCCCTATTCTAGAAAGGATATTTCTTTGTGGTATTATATTATTCCTTCTTATGGCTTTAATGGATCCAAGACAAGCAATCATCAATCGGTTTCTGCTGGAAGTAATAAAAAAAAAACTGATCAGGAAGATGATCTCTCGAAGAAATATGTTGATTTTATTCCCATGAGTGACAACAATGATTTATTCAAATGTAAAAAAAATGAAGATCACCATGCCTCAAGAAAGAGCAATAACAATTGTGAAATTTTTGAACACGTAAAGGAGCAACATTCTCCAAATACTTTCAAGAAGCATCCACCCATATTTACTAATGAATCTGTTTTTATTTCTCCCGAGTTGAATGATTTTTTTGAATCATGCCTCCCTAATATAGTAAAAGGATGTCAAAGGGTCCTACTTTATAGGTAATTTTGCTTTCTAGATTTTAGTTTGTGCATTGAATTGTATTGTGTTTTTACTTTGCAATTTTGATTTAACATAACTTCTTTAAATGAAGGGCAGTACATTGAAACATGGCATATCACTTCGCACACTTCTTCGCAACAGTGCTAAACTTTCTGGTCCTGGTTTGCTGGTATGTCAACCTTAATGGACTAAGTGTGTTTGGATGAGCATTGTAAAATTGATTTTGAATGAAATTGGTTTTGCGAAATTAATTTTAAAGTAAGGTGTTTAATATTTGGGTGTTTTTATTACAAAAACAAGTTAGTAGTAAAAGTCAGTATAAAATTTTTATCCAACATAAAAGCTACCTAAATTTTCTTCAACTTAGAATATTATTCTCAATGTGAAACATTACATGTGCACAAATTTCTTAACATCACGTTAGTTGGTATTTTAATGTGGTTTTAGAGAATTCAATGTGCACTAAATACATGTCTTTTGTTATGGAGTTCATTAGAGATTTACTAATTGCAGATTAATGTATTATTCTTTTATCGACCACGTGTTTCTTATCTATTTTGCAAAACATTTAGATTGTTGGAGATAAGCAAGGGGCTGTGTTTGGAGGGCTACTAAATTGCCCTTTGAACCCTACTGCAAAGCGAAAATACCAAGTATGATTTTTTTTTTCTTTTTCGGGTAATGCTTCACCATGAACATGTTTTTACATCTTGAAACATGATTTTGTTTTGTATGTTGTGGTGATAGGGGACAAATCAAACTTTTGTATTTACAACCATATATAGTCAGCCAAGGTTGTTTCGGCCCACTGGTGAGGGTTCTTATTGGTTAATGTACAAATGCATTTTCTTTATCCAAGGGGAAATTAATTTAAATGGGACATGCTTATTCCTCTCGAGCAAAATCTTGGATTTAAATTTGTGTATAAAAAAATCCTTATGGTGTAGAAAAAATGCATTTTATTTGTAGGAAGATGTTGCAACTAAGTCAAGTGTCAAAAATTGATGCATTGTCTAAATTAGTTTGTTGATGATTTCATACTTGTTTTTTGAAGTCAAATATCTTTTTGTTATTTAGATATACCAATTCTCAGTATTAATTAGCTTTAGTTGAATTTGAATTTGTATGACATGGAAGTATGTAAATTAATCACATAAAAATTCATTTTAAAGCCTTATATAAAAGAAAGGTAATGATGAATTAATGAGCCTCCCAAGTTGGTCGCCGACTAACTAGCTCTTCACCTTTTGCATGTTGTCCTCTAGTTTGAGTAGCCTTTGATATATAACGCAGGTCCAAGATTAATATATGATAATTATTTAGTCTCAATTTTTATTACATATTTGAAATTTATCATCCTCACTTACTTAATAAATTTACATGGTTAAATTATAATAAAATAGAAGGATTTTAGCACATCATTAATGATTATTCTCAAAAATTGTTCCTTTGAAAAATATATAATCTTGTCACTTAAATTTCACTACAAAAAAATTACAATATAGTTATACATTCTATAGTAATATAATAATTATCACTAAAAATTACTTTTATCTATATTATAAATATAATATATATTAGTATATTTTCAAAAAATATAAGTATAAACTATAATGACATATACATATTAAATCTTATTCAAAATTAACATTAAAATTATGTGTAATTATATGTCAAATATATATATATATATATATATATATATATTATTTATATTTTATAAACATTTTTTATAAATGTAATATTTCTTGTAGTTTTCTTTAATTTGGATCATCACCCACAAGGGAAAAAAAGAAAACAAAGGAATAAAGTATTGATTATTACCTTCCAACACGAGGAGTATTAATTTTTTTGAGTTCGAGGCATTGACAAATGATTGTTATGATTAATTGGGCGATGAAATTCGAAAAATAGTAATAATTATTAGTTTAATCTATTCCCGATTGAGAATGAGAAAATTAATTATCAATATAGATTTTCTCAAAATTTTATTTTTAGCATGTAAAGTTGTTTCACCCTTTTCAATTTTCTTTGAACTAATAATGGTATTTTGATTTGATATGTTTATGGTAGGCATCAATCGACACTATTACTTATGTTTGAATGACTTGCTTGCACTTGGTGGTGGTGGTACCCCTGCTTTGTGCTTAGATGACGATTTGTAAGTATTTTACATAATGTTTCTTACTAGTTGTCTACTTTATTATTGTTGTACGTAGTACCACTAATGGAATCTCTTGAATGTATTGTTTATGTTGGAAAGGTTATCCGGGACCAGTGGACCATGTGATACATTTGGAAACATGTGTTTGGCTCATAGTTCAGAATTTGAATTGAAGAATGTAGAGGTAATGTTGTTACTACTGCCATTATTAATTGTCTAGCTTACATCAAGTAATAATTAGTGTCTTTGATCTCTGTTGTTTAATTTATTTTATTTTATTTGCTTGTGTGCTTAAAATTGCATGTAATATTTATCTTTAAGACTATGATCAATAATCTCCTTTGGCTTCCAAAATAACATGACTAAATAATAGTTATCATCCGAATGAATCATATTTGACACTTTCATTCCTTTGTGCCCAAGTACAAATATTTTATTCATCTAGTACGAGTAACATAATGGTGATAATTTCTCCTACAAGTTGTAATCCAAGATAATGAATGTGGAGTCCAATTAGTATGTTATAAAATGGTCATAAAGAAAAGATGGCCAATAGAAACTCTAGTGATGTTATAAAGTTAGTCAGATTAAAAAAGATTAAACGTTATACAAGACCTTACTCTTAATGATTTCTTTGTTTTTGATGTTTTGATGACGTTAATTGTTCTACGTTGCTAGCTCCACATATTAGGATAGGGTTTACTAGTCGTTGTTTTTGTTGTAGATGTCATGGTCACTTCATGCATTTATTTTGTCCACCTTGTATTTCTACGACTATACGAGGCTATGATTTACTATTTATACACTATTTCTTTTATGTGCAGTTGTGGGGTTTCACATATACTTCCCGTTACCTGATGCAACGTTGAGATAAGCAGAATGAACACATCCAATTCATGCTCTTTTCATGTACTTGACTAGCAATTTATTCAAATATGGATTACCAACTTTCTTGAAGGTGGTTTCTAACATCGAGTGATTTACCAATTGGATGTATCAGACATTTATGTTCCTTTTTTCATAGTTTTCATTAATTGTGAGGTTTCTAAAACACTAGGTTGTGAATTGGAATCTCAGGTGAGGTGATGTACAATATAAGGATGTGTACTATTCAAGTTCTCATGGACATTAATAAAATGTGCAGAGTAAGTTTATGCCATAACTTTGTATCTCCCTTGTGTTGTATTATTTGGAAGATTACATGTAGATCTACTTGTACTAGGCATAGGATTTGGTGCACTTACACATTCTAATAAATTTTATGAAAGATAAATGTTATTCATTTATTTGTTAAATCAAAAGTTTTTATTAAATATATTAAGTTTGCAAAATTTTATAAAACTTTAATTATCATTTTATTTTAACATAGAATATATTATTAAAATATAAATAAATATTTATTAGTATATTAAATATTTTTTAAAATTTTTAGATTTATATTTATAAATATCTAAAATATCACAAATTCAAGATAATGTCAAATTATTTAATTAATGGATGGATTAGTTAACTTTCCATTTTACAAAAGGTTAACTTTATAAATATCTATTGGTGTAAAATAAAACTTTATAAATATCTAAGCCTATTGTCTAATGTCAATTTTGTGTGTATTGAAGTTAAAAATAAAAATAAAATAAAATAAAAAGTAGTAAATAAATAATTTGTGTGTACTACAGTTAAACAACAAGAAGGAAAAGTAGCAAAGTTTGAGTGCTAGAAGTTATTTAAACTAATGGGCATTAAAATATGGTATTTAATCCTTCAAACTTAGAAGGTCACCGATATTTCCTTCCTCTTTTTCGTTAAATTCACCTGCATTCTATTTGTTTGTAATTTTCCCCCTCAAAATACACTTTCATGAAAATATGTTTCCATTGTGAAAAAAAATATAAAAAAAAACTTGCCTCTAATTTATAAAGGGGTGCAGGTTTTACAATAGAGAACAAAAACATGTTTTTATTGTGTATTCTTGCTCAATATACAATTAGGGGTAAAAAAAATCCATTTATTCATCATCCAATCATCCACCCAATTTATATACAAGTAAATCTATCTAATTTATCAAATGCAATAAAAATAAATAATGATCAAATCCAACCCATTCATTAATTTTATGGATAGTTGATGATTCATCCATTATTTTTCAAAATTCATTAAAATACAATATGAGATGTTTATTGAATTGAGATTTTAAAAGGTTATTTTGATATAAACAAAAGTCTTGTAAATTTTAAAAGACAATATATAAATGTAATGAGTTATAAAAAAAACTAGAGAAAAAAATATTTCAAAACATTATTTTCATGGACGAATTGGATATTTATCCATCAAAAAATTGTTAATGGATAGATTGAATGATTTTTTTTCTTTAAACAAATTGAATGAATTGGATTTTACACTGAAATTTTAATAGATTTAAATGGGTTAACAGATTATTTTTATTTGATCCATTTAAAAAATTATCTGACATAGAGGTTTTCAACATTCGTAAAAAGTATCTAATGTTAATTTGAATGAAGTGAGCAAATTTAGCCAACCTATCTATTACTGCCCAAACAACATCTAAGTCTTTTGCGATATTAAGTAAGTCAATCACAAAGTCCATAGATATATTATCTCACTTTTACTCGTACATCAAAAGGTTACAATTTTCTAAAGGCTTTTGATGTTCCACCTTAGACTCTTGACACACAAGGCAAACATACACAACCAATCTAGGAACCTTAAGACTCCTTCCATGCCCACCTTAAAACAACTTTATTTACCTTGGTTTAATCTTTTTACTCAGCCAACAAAAAGAACCTAACTTTTTGCCATTTTTATTCTCATATTTCAAACTATTAGTTACCTTCAACACGTTCAACTTAAGATTCTTAAGGATCACTCGTTGGTTAACTTAGGTTTCTAAACTTGTTTTAAAAGGTTCAATTCTCTAAATCAAGGTAAATATAGAAAAGGAATTAATTTGAAGATTAACTTGGGAAAACATTCACAATCAAATCAAGTTTAGAAAAAATCAAGATTTAGAAAGTTTCTAGGATTGGAGTTTTCACATAAAAACTTCCAATTAACCTTTGATAGCATTGTCGAATCACTATAAAAAACTACAAGATTTTTCCCAAAGATTTGTAATATAGGGAACAACCTAGGTTATTCTTCTCGAAGACTCAAGTCAATATGATCCAAATTTATCTCGTATGGTTAGAAAGGGGATTTTATGAATTCCGAATAGTAATTGAACAATTAAGAATGTAAACAAGGAATTAAAAGGCAATTCCAATCAAAGATTACTTCGATTCAAGATTTCAATTTTTATGATAAAATTTTCACGGTTCAAAATATAATTCAAATTCAATCGACATAGATCAATACAAACGTAATTAAAATATAGATCTAAAGCTAGATTATTTTCGGTCTAGATCTAAATCCGGATCTAGATGCAAAATTAATCTTCAATCTTGATTTTAGGTCTAATTAAACGAAATTAATAATCATGAAAATGAAAATTAAATCTGAAACAAAGAAGAAGACGAAGAAAATTCGTATGATAGAACTAGATCGAGAACTTAAATTTTATCATAATTTATGAAACCTCGAATCGAATGAACGAATTTGCTACATATCTCCATAGAGTTTTTGCACGCAAAAATTTGAAGAGAAAATTATGAGAGAGAGAGAGAGAGGGGGGGGGGGGGGGGG